ACATCCCTGGAAAGGTGTGAAGGGCACATCCAAGGCTGGCTCCTGCTGCTTCTGACGCCCTCTGCACTGAGATGAACTTTACAGAATTCAGAGAATCACAGAATGACCAGGTTGGAAGAGACCTTCAAGATCAGCGAGTTCAACCCAGCCCCAACACCTCAACTAAACCCTGGCATCCAGTGCCACATCCAGGCTTTGTTAAACACACCCAGGGATGGGGACTCCACCACCTCCCTGGGCAGGCCATTCCAATATTTTATCACTCTTTCTGTGAAAAACTTCTTCCTGATATCCAACCTGTATTTCCCCTGGCACAGCTTGAGACTCTGTCCTTGACCTGAGCAAGGTGGGGAGCTGTGGATGCTGAACCAGGCTGGTGTAGGAACAGAGAGGATGGAATAAAAGCTCTGTGCTTTCTGTGATTGCTCCTGGCAGTGCCAACAGCTGCAGAGTGTCAGAACCCAGGACATTGCTCTGACTGCCCTGGAGGACTCGAGACCCTGGCAGGGGGCTCAGACACCTTGGCACAGAGTCACAAACACCTGTGCCTTTGATTTTAGCCCATGGAAACAATTACCAACTTTGTGTGAGGAGTTACAAGCCACAGGAGTTTGAGTAGAATGATAGTGAATTAATCACAGGGTGGAAATGTAGAATTTTGGGGTTTTTAGAATGGGGATTCAAGAGCAAGATGGAGGAATTGTGGCATGTTCTGTCTTTCTCCTTCTTTTTGTCCTCCATCTTCTGCTGTGATGGTGGCACTTTTGGATTGATTTAGAGTAGAGACAGACTGTCTAACATAGGTGATAGGTATTGGAAAATTATTGGAAATAAAGTACAGGTAGTTTTTAGTATGAAAAGATAACACCACCCTGAGGGTGTCAGTGTGCCTCAACCCAATCTGCCAGCCAGACCTCAACAGGTTGGAAAAAGAATGTTATAGATAAGAGAAAATAAACAACCTTGAGAACCAGAACTGAGGAATCCTGTCTTCTTCTTTGGTCTCACGGCTGGGAAAACTTTCTAACTTTCCAACACCTCGGGGTCATCTCTACACAGAATCCCTTGTCACCGGAGCGCCGGGATCCATCACAGCTGAGCCCCACCGGAGTCTGCACTGCTTACCAGCACACAGCCTGCTCCCTCAGCCTTTCCAGCACACTGAATATTTTCCCCATCTCAGAGGAATAAAGTGGAGACAAAAGATTAATCTTCCACGGATTGTAAAACCCTTGGAGTGAGGGTGGTGGCGGCGTCGGTTCAGCGCCGCTGGCAGCCCCGGCAGGCTCCAGCCGTCCCTGCCCTCAGCCCAGCCAGGCAGCAAACCCACGGCTCTGGGGAGAATTACTCCTCATTTCCTTATGGAAAACCAAGATTAAAACCAAAACTGCCTGTAGACTTCCATGTCTTGCACAGCATTCAGTCAGCCCTGGCTGGGTCCTGCTCTTCCTCCCACACCGCAGCCACGGAAAAAAACAAAAAACAAACCCACAAAAAAACTCCTCAGTAGCCTGGGAGGTGTAAAATCCATTCTTTTCATCTTTTTATGGCTCTCTTAAGCGTGTTTACCTCCCAAAGCTTTTACCGTGTGGGAAGCCAAGGTAAATAAGGAGGTTTGCCCTTTGTGTAAGGGTGACCCAGTACAGAGGGAATCCCCCACACCTGGGGGGCTGCCAGCGATGGAGCCCTGGTCCCCCTACAGCCCGGGGTGTCTGTGGACCCTTCCCTTGCAGTATTGAGTGTTTTCAGTCCATTTTCCCTCACTGGCTAATTTACAGCTCCAATTGCTAATGGTTTTCATGGATTGCTTAATTACAGGCGGGGTGGATGGTGCTGGTGTCAGCAGGGCTGCCAGATGTTCCCTTTGTGACTCTCACCTCAGCCGCTCCCAACCTTGCCAAACTTTAACCCTGGCAGCTGGGACATCATCCTTGTGCTCTCTTCCAGTTCTAGGACTGGCATCATCCCATGAAACTGGGAGAAGCAGGAGCAACAGCCTGATGGGACACTGCTGGGCTGGGAGAATGTGACAAAAGGGTCAGGAGATGCTGGAAAGAGCAGTGAGGGTCTCCAGGTGGTACATGCACAGTCACACAGCCTGAGCTGTCTGTGTCTTTGTTCTTGTTCTGCACAACGAGCACTAAACCAGACCCTCACCCTCTGGTGTGCAGGTGAGGCAGTTTGGGGTGTAGGACCTCATCTAAATCATGTCCAGGAGGACACCAAGAACCCTCTTTCCCAAGGCTTGCTCCAAGGGCAGCATGTTTGCCCTGAAATAGGCTAAAAAGGCTAGAGCATCCTGTCAGGAGCTCCCATACCGGCTGCAGGCTGGGGATAAGGGGTCCCATCCCACCCCCACCAGAGTCACTGCTTTGGGAGCAGCCCCCAGGTTTTGAAGGTGATCTATTGCATCAGGACCTCTGTGCCCCTGGTCAAGAGCACATCATGTGTTAATGTTTGCACATCACATCAATTCTGCCCAGGCACCTGGTGGAAATCTCTCTAAAGAGGACAGACTGAGGGAACTGGGCCTGTTCAGTCTCAAGAAAAGGTGACTGAGAGGGGGCCTCATCCACGTCTGTCAGTGTCTGAAGGGTGGATGTCAAGAAGATGAACCAGGCTCTTCCCAGTGGTGCCAAGAAATAGAACAAGAGGTAATAGGCAGAAATTGATGCCCAGGAAGTTCTACCTCAACATGAGGAAGAACTTTCATTTACATTGACCCAGCACTGAACTATATGCCCAGAGAGGGTGTGGAGTCTCCCTCACTGGAGATATTCCAGAGCCCTCTGGACACACTCTGTGCCATTGCTCTGGGATGACCCTGCTGGAGCGGGAAGGTTAGACCAGATGAGTTGCTGTGGTCTTTTCCATCCTGGGATTCTGCGAACCACCCAGCCCCATGAGCCAGGCAGCTCTGGGGCAGACTCTGGCCAAGGGCAGCACTATTGCCTGGGAGGCTCAGCAGCAGGAACAGCATTTTCCTCCCAAAACACTCCTGAGAGGCAGAGGAACATCACTGGTGAGCTGTGCTCCTTGCAGGAGGAGCTGTGACATTGTGGGCTGAGCTCTGGAGCACCCTCTGCCTCCCACGCCTCAGCTGCAGTGAACCAAAAAAATGAGTTTATCAAACTTGAAAAGGGAACCTGCATTGCTTTAGGACTCCACTCCAGTGGAAGCTGCAAGACATTTTCTAGAAATGAATTTACATAGAAATAAATAAGCCAGAGCTCCTGCCTGAGATATCTGCTGTCCCTTCCTCATACTGGCTGCTGTCTCTGCCTGGGGCATGTTTCTGTAGAATTGGGTTTGTCACCCTCTCAGCTGGAGAGCAGTGCCAGTCACCATCAACTGCAGGCTTCTTCCAGCAACAGTGGGGAAACTGGAAGTACCTGAAAAGTCAGGAGTTGGTGTTCACACGGGGAGAATCACTGGGAGCAGGTTTGAGCCAGGTCATGGACGAGCTGCTGGAGTGGGGGAGCTGGATCAGGGTCACTACATCAAAATGTTCTGCAGGTGTGGTGGTGGTGGTGACCCTTAGCTGGGTTGTAGAGTGGATTTTGGGAGCAACCGTTCTTTTCCATGTCAGGGTAACTTGTCATGGTAGTCTCTGCTGCATGGGGGAGCTGCTAAAAACAGTCATTTTGTTGCTGGAAGAGGTCATTTAAGTAGACCGTGGCAAAGAGGGATGCAGAGGCCTTGTGGGCTGCAACTGGAGCTCTGGCCCACCATGGCAGGAAGGGGACAGGGAACTTGGCTGAACAGAGGAATGAGACAGGTTGAAAAATCCTTGCAAAAACACAAGAGCCTCCAGGATAAGCCCTTTCCTCAAACAGGGATGCTCTGCCTTGTGTGTGTGGGGACAAGCAGCACTGAGGAGTCTGGAGTGTGGGATGTCCCAGCATGTCTGGGACATGCACAGTGCTCAGGTTGTGCCACACAGGAGGTCCCTGGATCCTTCCTCTGTCTCCCTGCAGTGACAATTTACACCTCACATTTCCAAGGACAAAGGCAGCCCAGGACAGCTGCCTCTCTCTGGACACAGTGCCTTGGTGGGAGCAGTGTCAGTGGTTTCCACAAGTGTCAGGCAGGGATTTGTAATTCCAGGGCTCCTGCTGCTATCACACAGTGATAATCCTGATCCCAGGACTGGGATCCCAGTCAGTGGGCATGGAACTGCTGTGCTTCCAGCAGAGGGACTGGGGCATGCTCAGCTTCCAGCTGGAAGTAGGGTGCTGGAGGGGACCCAGGGACCATCACTCTTAGGCAGCTCCCTTAGACCCCACAGCTGAGCTGCACCCATGCAGCATTCCCACCTCCTTCTATTGCTCCTGATATTTTTAATATTATTTTTGTGATGGAAACTTTACTTCTCCTCGTAACTTCTTAAGACATAGCTATTTCCTCTGGACTGCTTCCACTGCCCACAAACCTGCCCACTTCTCAGCCTGGAAATCTGACAGAACACCGACAGGCTGAGAGAGCTGGGCGGCACAGCCTGGAGAAGGGAAGGCTCAGGGGAGACCCTGGAGCCCTGTCCAGTGCCTAAAAGGGCTCCAAGAGAGCTGGAGAGGGACTGGGGACAAGGGCCTGGAGTGACAGGACAAGGGGAATGGCTTTAAGCTGAAGGAGGGGAGATTTAGATTAGATATCAGGAGAAAATTGTTCCTTGTGAGGGTGGGGAGCTCTGGCACAGGTGCCCAGAGCAGCTGTGGCTGCCCCGGGATCCCTGACCGTGTAGGTTGGATGGGGCTCGGAGCAGCCTGGGACAGCGGAAGGTGTCCCTGCCATGGCAGGGGTGGCACTGGATGTCCTTTAACGTCCCTTCCAGCCCCTGCCCCGGGCAGCAGCGGGCCCGGAGCCGCAGCGCGGGGGTCCGGCGGTGCCGGGGCTGCCGAGGGGGCGGCGCTGGCCCGGGGGAGGCGGGGACGGAGCGGGACGGAGCCGTTCGGAGCCGTTGGGAGCGGGGCGGTGCCGAGGCGGGCCCGGCGCCGGGCGGGCGGGCCGAGAGGTGCCGAGGGAGGCATCGCCGTGCGAGCGGCGCCCCGTGTGCCTCCTGCGGCCCCGGCCAGCAGCCCCGGGCCGGGGCATGGAGGCGGCGCACAGCATCCCCGTGCTCGACGTGCTCCGCCGCTTCGGGGTCAGCGAGAGCTGCGGCCTCAGCCCCGAGCAGGTCCGCCGCAACCGGGAGAAGTACGGCCCCAATGGTCAGTGCGGAGCGACGGGATCAGTGCGGGGGATGCGGGGCGGGCGTGGGACGGGACAGCGATAACGGGACACCGGCAACGGGATACCGACATCCCGGCTGGGACCCGACCGGGACTGGGACTGAGACCGGGATCCTCTCCGCCGGGATCAGGATGTGGACCGGGATCCTCCCCACCGGGATGGGGATGTGGATCGGGATTCTCCCCGCCGGGATGGGGTTGTGGATCGGGATTCTCCCCACCGGGATGGGGATGGGTACCGGGATCCTCCCCGCCGGGATGGGGATGTGGAGCGGGACCGGGATCCTCCCCGCCGGTAGCGGCAGGGTGCGGGGTGCTGCCCCGGAGCATCCTCCCGGCCCCGGCTGTGCGGGGATCGCTGGGGATGTGCCGCGGGACACCTGTTGATCAGGGCAGTATTTACCGGCTTTAATTGAAGGCTAATTGCTGCGGGTTCGGGCGGCCAGGAACGTCGGCAATTAGCGGGGTGTTAATTCCGCTGCCGGAGTGACAGAGAGCGGGGAGGGACGGACAGCGATATCTCGTTACCAGGAAGGAAAGAGGGGAAGGTCTCGTTGCCTGCGGGTGACCGAGGGAAGCCCCAGAAGAGCCGTCAGAGGTGTCCTGGAGGGATCTCGCTCGCCCCCGCCGCAGCCCTGCCTGTGGGTGCTGTGGGACAGGGAGCGGTGGTGGGGACACCGTCCGTGTGTGTCCCGCCCTGCCGGTGTCACACTGACCCGGGGGACCCTCTGCGAGCACCTGGGCATCTTCACGGCACTGAGAAAGGGGAATTTGTAAACGTTTAGAGAGTGCTCAGTGTGCCCAGGAAGGGCTGGCCGGGGTGTCCGCACCTACCCAGGTGATTTGAGGGTGGCTTTGTTCAGGCTGTGCCCGAGCTGGGTCCTTAACTCTGCATAGGAAACAGGAGGGTTGGGGTGGTGTGCTCCAGTGCTTTGGGGCAGTGAGTCCCTTCTCAAACTTCAGCAGGAGATCAGTGTGTAAACTCTCTCCTGGGTTGAGCTTGTTGCCTCTGCTTTTTGCCTGATCCTCACGGATGAGGCTAAGGGAAGGCTGAGTAGATGTGGCAGCATTGCTGTGTGCATTTCTGTTTGTTAGGTGGGATCAGAGTGCTGTGGCTCCTCCAGCCCTGTGAGCAGCTGTCCTGTGCTGAGCTGTGCTCAGGGCCCATCCATGCCAGCAGTGCTCCCTGTCCCAGGCAGCTCCAGCTCAGTTCCCTGGGCCAGCATGGTCAGGGCTGCCCTTGGGAGCTCTTGCCGTGGAGCACCTGCACAAGCTGCAAGCAATGGAGCATCACACCTGCTCCTGCTGGGCTTGATTTTGGAGAAGGGCAGCTGGGGACCTGTCTGGTTAACTGGGAGGAGCCCCTCTGTTTGGGGGCTGAAGGCAAAATACATCCTTAATGCAAAGTACATCCTAAATGCAAAATACATCCTAGTCAAACAGTGGCTGCTCTGATCTCAGGGTATAATTGCAGCCAGTCTCTGGCCCACAGGAGCAGGCTGAAGGGTGGTCTCTGCTGTGCAGCAGGGTGCCACCATGGGCATCACCATGGTGGGGCTCCTGGTGGCTTTGTCCCTGTGCTGTTTGCCCAAGTGAATCACCATCCCTGAGTCAGGCACGTTGGCTGCTCGGTGACACCGGGCTCTGCCTTGACAAAGGGAGCTCAGAGCTGTGACGTAGGTGCAGAGCAGAGGGTTAGTGGTGGTAATTAGTTTGCCTTTAATTTTTTTTTTCTTTTTGCTTCCTCCTCTTGCAAGCTGTGGCTCTGTGCTCTCCTCACTTGGCAGTTTTGTTTCCCATGCACCCCAGCTTTGGTTTCTCATGGGCTGTTGTTTCACAGGAGCTGCTGACTTTGGGGTGTCCTGTGCCTCTCACCTCCCAAGCCCTGCTCTGCTGCTCCTGTGCTGCACAGCCTGCATTGTGATGTGCCTGAATCTTGAGGGCAGTGACACGGGCAGTGCAACCCTCAGTGAAATGTGGTCGAAGGTTTTCAAGAATTCTGAACTTCTGCAATTTCTGAGCAGTATTTATGTGTTTCTCATGGTGCAAATGAGACATAGATGGTTTACAACACCTTAAAACCATGCAGATAGGGACCTGTGTGGTTTACTTGGTTTAGAACCTTAGTGTTAAGCAGAAAGTGGGGGTTTTTCCAGCATGGTGAGAACTTGCAGGTTGTGTGGTGGCAGCAGGCATCTTGAGTTTCCTGTTTGGGAGAGCTGCTTGGGGTGAGGGTGCCACAGGGAGCAGCTTGGGACAACGGGCTGGACTTGGATATGAGCTGTATTAAATTGCATTTCAATTTAGTTTAAATTAAACTCTAGCAGCAGGAGTGTGGGGCAGTTTGGTGACTCGTTTGAGCTTGCACAGAAGAGGAAGAAAAATCTTGTGTGGCTCGAAGTGCAGAGCAGGCCTTGAGCTCCAGCTACTTTCATTTTTGCACCCTCCTGTCTCACATTCATTCATTTCCTTCTAATCTTGAACTTCACACTGCCAGTGTGGTCGTGAATCACAATCTAAAATACATCATCTTTCTGAAAAACTGCCTCCTGACATGCTTCACAGAGCTGTTGGCTGCTGCTTTTTTATTGCATTTAAAAAAATACGAGCTGCAACGAGCTCTGACATTAAGTTAGAAGCAGCCATCATTGGTGTGACTGATATAAAATTATTTCATTTTTGGGGGGCGGTATTCTTTTGGAGCTTAAAATTGTTGTTTTTTCAGATCCAGGGCTCACAAACACATTTGCAGGAGGAAGCAGAGAGCAATAGTGATTATTTGGTATCTCCAGCTCGTGGCTGGGGAGCCAAGCAGTGTGGTACAGATTAGTGGAGTGGAAGGAGATATTTCTGCATTAGGAAGAGCTTGTGTTCTCGTTTCAGCTCTGTCATCAGTGCTGTCAGCATGGCCTTTCATTTGCCAAGGAAACTGGAGAAGCCACAGAACATTTAGGTCTCACCATGGCAATTCTGAATCTCCCAAGTCAATTTTAATTAATAAATGCTTTGGATGTCTCACATGTGCCTGGCAGGTGCTTCCCTGTACCGCATCCCATCCACCAGCTCAAGATCCACAGGTTGTTTTTTTTGTTTTTACCACAAAACTTAAAAAAAACCCCAAAAAACAACCAAACAAAAATAACCAAATGCACATCAGTTATTTTATAACAGACTGAGCAGGAAGGTATGGGCATGTACCCTTCCTAAATGTAAAACCAGGGGCACAATTTCCCTTGAAATTATTTGATTTTTGCCAAGGAACAACAGATGTAAGCAGGAGTTGCTTTGTGGACAGACAAGTGATTTTTCTGTTTTAAATATAGCTCTGATTTATCTCTTCTAAATGGATTTCTGAGTGTAAATGAGCATACATTTCAGGCAGGATATTGCAGGCATTAATGTGTATGCATAATTTTATTTGCTCCATCGGTAACCTAAATGGGCTGTGAATGTCAGCAGAGTCAAACTCGAGGCTCCAGCATAGGGGTGTTTATCTCATCTTTCATCTCCTCTGACTCTGAAGCTCTGCTGTGGTTGGAAACTCAGCTGGGCAGGGCCATCCTGCCTGTGGGGCTCCTTGGGGCTCACCCATCCTCTTCTCTCCCTGCTGTGCTCTGGGGGTGTCCCCACTGTGCTCTGCAGATCCCATGCCTTGCTGCAGGTGCAATGGAGCTGCAAACCAGCTTCAGCTCAAAGCCCACCAGCAAATGCGCTTGTTTTTTCCACCACACCTCCCTGTGTCTCTGCCAGCCTCACTCAGGATCCCCAAATCCTTGTGTGTATTTTCCCACGTGCGTGCCCAGCCTGCCTGGGCAGGAGGAGGAGGAGACATCCCCGAGCCCAAATCCAACCTGGGTTGTGCTGCTCCTCTCCTCAAACCCACCAAGGCTCTTTCTAAAGGCAGGAGCACACATCTGAGCCCCTGTTTTGCTAGAAACACCGCTGATAGCTGATTTATTTGCACCCTTTTTGGGGTGTGTGTGTCGGCACACGCGTGTGTCTGCGCCTGCGGCGGGGGCTTGACGTTGAACTCGCTGCTGGCGGTTGCTAACGAGCCAAGGTTATGCTCCAGCTCTCTCCTGACAATAATAAAAAGCAAAAAAAAGAGAAAAAAATTTTCTATTTCACGCTGAAGTATTTGAGGTGGCAGCAAGGAGAGGAAAAGCAGCATTTTCTGACTCATCAAACTCTGCGCTCTGTTCCTCTGTGCATCGCCCACCTCTCCCACCCCCGAAACACACGCTGAACACTCTGATTCATAAACATGCTACGGGTTGGGGCTTTTTTTTTTTTCTCCTCCTCCAAATCCTTTCCCTGAGGAGACATGCTGAGGCATTCAAACCTTGTGAGTGCCTTCAAATTTGGGGAGAGACTACACAAAGTTTTCGTAATTGACAGGGAAACTTGGGATTTTCATCCCCGTGCCATCCTCTGAGGTTACCTGCATTCACACCTACCTTTAAAAAACACTGTGAATCAAGAGCAAGGTTCAGAAAAACTGACATCTGCTGTCTAAATGCTGCAGGAGCCAGGGAAGGAAGGTTTGCAGGGCCATAAGGCACAGAAACTGCTGTGGGAGAAGGGATTGTGCCTGCAGGTCCTGTGTTTACCCCTGGGGTTGGTCTGCCTGGTGGCACAAGTGTTATTTCATGACTGTATTTATTTCATTGCTGGGTTTAAAGCTGGGGGTGGTGGAGCTGGTGCTACAAAACGCTGATTTAAGAGGAGCTGGATGCACTGTGGATGCCCAGATGCTGGCTTGGGATGTGCTGCTTCCAGTAAGGGGCTGGAACCTGTCCTCCAAAAACACCATTAGGAGCAAAATACCCCTCTTCTCCCAGGGTAATCCTTTTCCCCAGTAATTCAGGTGTCTCTTTTGAATCCCTACTCCAGCCAAGGGTGCATGGTCATCCTGGAGCCTTACTTGCCATCACCACAGTCACACCTCTGCTCTTTGCCATTTCAGCACCATTGGTCTT